CTCGCTTTATATGACCCATCTGCTTATTCACATAATTCTGTGCTCTCGTTTCCTCTAATGCCGCCCAAGAGCATTTCACCACAAGTATGTTTAGTGAAGAGTAATCATCTTCTCTATCAGTTCCAGGTACCGTTTGCAGGGCTTTTGAACTTCATTCAGTCTCCCTTCTTCTACTCCGCTTGTCGATTGGTCTTGGCTAAACATCAAACTCACCGTCAGACTGTCTGAAATCTTGCCGCCAAAGAGCTTTTTGTTCCTCTCCCCGATTACGCCATATTCGAAGATTTAGAGCAGATTATGCCCATGCCATTCTCTGGGACTCTTCCTCTTCCTAGGCTTTAAGCCCATGACTCAGTTATCCTCTTTCTCGTCCCCACCCACATTGTATTTCATTATTTAGGGCTCTGTATCCAGCTTAATTCATCATCGCTGGTGTGAAAAGGCACCGCCTTTCTTTTTACCCTCCCTTGGCCAGGCATCTTACCAGTCACCTACATGCATACACACACTGGTGACCTATATCTGGCCCACCCATACATTTAGCCTTTAATTTCCTTTCCCACATCCAATAGGTCAACTCTCCTCCCTTGGTAAATTTTTCTGGACGATTCCAGGTTTCACTCCTCTCACTGCAATCGCCTTTTCTTGACTTGTCCTTGTCCTTCATGACCCGCTTCTTGGTGATCTTTCTTCCTGTTGTCGAAAACTTGTCCTGGGTCCAAGCGTCTTTTTTGATGTCTTCGCTTAACCTACAAGTATATCCAGGCATTTGCATGGCCGTCACTTGCTCTAAATCCTTGAATATGGCGTAATCGGGGAGGGGAATTAAAAGCTCTTAAGCGGCCAGGTTTCAGACAGTCTGACAGTGATTTTGATATTTAGCCGCGACCAATCGACAGACGGAGTAGAATAAGGGAGGCTGGAACTAGTAGTGGAGATGATTATTCCTCACTAAACCCACTTGTGCGACAGGATCTTAGGCGACATTGGAGGAAACGAAAGCACAGAATTGTGTGAATATGCAGATGAGTCATATGAAATGGGGTTGAGAGAAAGAGATGCAGCACTAGAAGGTAGAACGGAAATAGGGGCGGTTGAACAGAAAATTAGTCAAGGGGATTACTTTCACTTGTAAACTTGACAAATTGTAACTCTGTGCTAGCGAAGGCATCTCTCTGACGATGCCGGCAAAGTGTTTGGGAAGGTACCAAGTCAATGGTCCGGTGCTGGGCATCAAATATACTATGACAAAGAAGACAGAGTTAGATACGTTCTACTAGGTCTCCCTGACGCTCCAACCAAGTTGCAAAAACGAGATCGGGCCAACACTATAAAGTTAGAGGAGACTGCGACCAAACAGAAGGCCACACCATCTTAGTCTTCATATATACTATACTATTATTGTTTGAAAATGCTACGATTTTATCAATAAATTAATAATTCTTGCCTCATCGATTTCCGATTTGTTAAGTAATCCCACAAATCTTCTCTGACACGTTTAGAATTATCTTTCTTTTAGGGCATTATCACTCCGCATAACATCCCAATGCCAAAGCATCTCTTTGATCCAGACCCAGAGCCTTCGAACATTGCATCATCCAGCCACTCTTACGAATCTACATCGTCAGGGGGGGGTACAGGTCACCGACAACCTGGAAGCAGCTCACGTACTGGTAGCACAACTGCTGCGGCCGTGACTGCTAGCGGTAAGCAAGTGTCCTCAACGGCCGCACAGCAAACATCTGGGACTGCCGTTTCAGGCCGGCTCGGAACGACCGGGGCAGCTGCTGGTGACTCTGATAAGGCGGCTGTTGCCTCGTCAGCAACTACGACCTCAAGTACCGTAGCTAGTACGACAGAAAAGGAGTCAGATCGAGGTGAGACTAGTTATTTTGGGGCTCATATTCATGGCATTGTTACCCTAACATCATTCCAAGATCTTTTATAGTCAAAAAATCAAGACAGGCTTAATTTAGCTGAAGCAATTATTTTTTCAGAACACCAGTACATGTCAGATGTTTTTTTCTGCAAATAACTGTCTTTTGCGTCATCTAATTGCCGATGAATTACAAGAGATTTTAATTCGAAAAATATTAAATTCTGAGTTCCTGGTTTTTAAAGCTTATTATCAACAATTTGCAAATTGTTCCCAATTCTCACACAATGTCGAACGTACATATGATTTCACTTCTACATTATTTTTTCAATTTAAAATTGATTTTATTTGTATTAATAAGTGCATATTCTGACATTTTCTACTTGTGGCTGAGTATAAATCAACTGCTGGTATACATACAAAGAATTAAGGATAATATCTTTTTCACTGTCTTTTCTGTCAAGGGAGGGCTATACTCCAGTGTAGGTTATCCTTTAGTCTCATTTGAGCTTAATCATCAAATAAGCAAGAGTCAAATCTAAAACATTCATATGGGTTATTCGACTTACCCTAATCCACTTTAATCTTTAGACATCGCGCGCCTGACAACATACACGGGTGTCTGGGTGTTAATCCATACATTCATCCATATAGTTTTAATTATTGCTAAAATAAATTATCTTTCGCATGTGAGCAGAGTTTCGAGACTATCAGTTAATCAGTTATATGAGATGTATTCACCCTATTTCTTTTTAGGTGATGAATGACTGGTAGTGGAATTTTACCACAATCATACGAGTAGAGCTGGTGTTTTAATTGAATTTCACTTAGCCTTGTTTTTTCAAAAGTTGCTCTCATCCAAGGTAGACTGCAGTTTCGACCTCGCCTAGGTCTTATCAATACACCCAGCGAGAGTCGAACCGTGACAGTTCAGCATTTGAGATTGACATTTTAACTACTCAGCCAAATTGCCACAAGTGTTCTTGGGTCACAGGGCAGATGTAAATTTCAAGGAGGGCCAGGCTCTTTCCCACAGCACATTTTTTGTTGGGATTGCCAATGAAGCAAATACATTTTTGCTATAACAATCGACTACATTACTTATGTGAATAAAAGTTGGGTTTCCAGGGATCTCTTGTTTCATAATTGTTTAGCTTATTTCCATTTCGAGTTGAATTGTTAGGTGAAGAGATTCGAAGTTCGGTTCCACCAGAAGACGACGGATTCCTCTTGACCAGCTGTCGATTGGCTTTACTGGAAGATTCATGCTGACGCTGTTTC